TTTCATTTCATTTTATTTATTGGTTATTAAATTATGAATAAAAATTGCAAAGCAATATTAGTCCAAAGACTTTTGCAATGTACTGTATATTTAATAAGTGCAAGCTGGCCTACTTTATTAATTTTAATGCAGTATATATTACTTGAACTAATAAACATGTTTACTATCTCTTTTTTTTTATATATCTCTACATTAATCTATTAAAAAGCTAATTGATTCTAGGAATCTCTTATGGTTTGTTGCTCCTATTGGGAACTAACATGCCTAGACTCTATTAGTACTGATACAAAAGATATAATAAATGTTATGTTTACTTTTGAGTATGTTACTGGTTATGTTTACCATGTCCATCAATTGAGATCTATTTGATATGATGTGTTCTTGATTGTTTTTAAAGCTTTTCTTTTTTCTTTTCTTTATGGAGGTCTTTTGATTTTTATATCTTTCTCCCATTGTGTTATTCTTCTACATCTGTTGATCCATATGTTAAATATTTGGAACCTTGTATGGCTTGTGATACTTTTTAGTGTGTCAATGAGTTTGTTCTAACTGACGCTTTCGATAATGAGGTTGTTTAGAGCTTTACTAATGCCTCACCTGAGTACAAAGGTTTTTAGGTCTTTTGTACTAAGCTCTATCTTGATGTGTATAATCGAAAGAGATTTCTCATTTTTCCTGTATTGTAGTTCTCTATATATATTTTTGTTGATTTCTTTATATATATTAATACTATATTATGAATAGATAAATAGGTAATCATTGTTTTCTACATTAGTGTAGTTATGACATTTAACTGATTTGTATATATTTAAATAATACTTTTGTAGTTTGTCCATTATTAACAACTCTCTGTTTCATAATTTAATTGAGAAGATATATTGTTGATGGTCACAGCTGTCTGTTTGTGAGTCTGTAAGTGTTGTGGGATGGCTGAAAGTGAGACTGGCTTTTCAATCTATTTCCTTACAAATCTGCTGATCCAAGTCTGTGTTTCTATTGAGATTGTTTCAGTGCATTGTTAGTTGTGCTTGATAAATTTACTTAATAGTCCTTCGAATGGGTTGGGTGATTTTCACATTGTTATTGAAATAAGGTTGTAGATAGTTTTCTTCTAGACATGTGCTAAGGACGGTGTTTTTGTCTTTGATGTTGTTATTTGTTGCCACCTTGTGTACCAATGAGTTGACTCTTTTATGGAAGGGTTGTTATTTTTCTTTGATATTTTCTTTCAGGTGATATCTTGTAGAAGAGTGTTAGTTATATGTTGGAGATTAAGTAACATGCATATTTCTTGACTTTTGGTTACTTTTTGGTGATTATTTGGCTTGCTGTAGTTAAGACCTATATATAATAATAGACTTTTATTTAAATAATTAAAAAAAAATTCAAAAAATACTGCAAGAAATAAAAAGTTAATTTTATTTGTACTTAATATTTAAATATTGGTTTCAATGAATATATTTTTAGATATAACTATTATTTTATTAATAAAAATCAAAAAATATAGAATACAATAATAGACTTTATATAATTATAAGATATCTATTGTAGTAAAAATATTAAAAAAGCATTTTTATTATAGTTAAAAAATTTATGATTTAAGTAATAAAAATATATTTTTTGATTTTTATTTTAATATTCTAATAAAGTCTAAATATATTAATACATTTAACAAAAGTAATAAACTATAAAAACTGAAAATTTTTTTCTAGTAATTGATTTTTTTATAAATAAAAATATATAAAAATAGTTTAATAAAATTGCTTTATAAATTAAATTAATATATGTTTATTACAAAAATATTAATAAAATAGACTTGAATATATTTAAAAAAAAAATTATTTTTAAGTTTTACAAAATAAATAAATAAATAAATTATTATATATTAATACTTATTCTATTTCTTATATTTTTTAAAAAAAATAAATCTATAGGTCCATAATGCAGTGGTTAGCACTCTATAGGTCAAATCACAAGAACAGTGATCAAATCTTCCAAAGGGCAACTTCTGAAAAGCAGGTAATGATCTGTATCCATTGACATAACTGTACATAATTGATATTTCCATGTATAGCTTATCTCAACAGTCGATTAAAGTTCTTGCATAATACAATCCAGTTTATATATGGATTATGATAAAGTTAAATATCTGAAATTGAGTAGAATTATCCCTTGACATGGCTGCATTATCAAATAAGGATAATAAGAAGAGTAAATATTAAACTGGTAGCATACTGTTGAAAGAAGGAATAATAAATCAAACAAAAACAAACCCTAGTTTCCTGCCTTAGTATTGAGGCATCTGTTCAAGAATTCAAGTATGTGGTTATACAGGATTTTACAGACTTGACTATTGAAAGATCTTGGTAAAAGGAGAAATCTGTGGACCACTCTAAATAACTTAGAATACTGAGAAGTCCAGGATAAAAAAAATTTGACAGCCTGATAATCAGACTACTCTTACAATAAATAAAATTGTTCTAGAAATAATTAAGAAGGAATCATACATCTTTTCAAATAGGTAATAGTTATATATAGAGATATAATAAATATAGCTACTTATATAAATAGGTCTATTTCAAAATTTATAATTACTTGTTAACAAATATGTAATAAGGGATTTGTATAGATTCCTTAATTGTGATCTGATAAATATCTGCCATTGTATCTACAAAATCTATACAACATATATGTTAATAAAAGATATAGCTCATATAATGATATGTAAAGGCAATGGTATAAATATTTTTAAAACTTTACTTCAGATAATTAATAAGGAAATTAACAGTATAAAACAACAAATCCCTTAAAAAACACTAAATAACAAACTAAAAAAAATTGAAAGCAAATAAACTTCTGAGGAAAAAAACTACATTGCAAGAGGGGTATTAACAAAAGATTTCTTAAAAATAATAAAGAAATATATAATAGTAGAAAATCAAAAAGAAATTCTTAAAATTATTATAGACAGATTCTTGATCATCTTTCAGGACAAATGGCAACTGAGGTGTCAACTCTTTTCACAATGGGAAATAAATCAAAATATAAGTAAAAAAAATAAAAAAAAATAGAAAACACCAGATAGAAGAATCACTACATACAAATTATACATCACAGGAATCAACAAACTTATAAAAACACTCCAATAAATATTGGATCAACTGGAATACAATATATTCATTCAAAACAAATTTTTATAGGACAGGTAGAACCTTGGCAGATTAGTTAAGTATATACTAGTACTTGACAATAAGTCACATGATAGGACTATCCTTAGTGAATTTAATTAGATAGCTAGAGAGTTAAATTTATATAAAATAAATTTGTACATACTCATAACAATATCTAATAAATAAGGTATAAGTCATTTGATTAAAAAAAAATATTTTTTTTTTTAAAAAAATTTTTTATTAATATATTTTAAAGTTTTATTATTATTAAATATTATTATTTTTTTATTAATTATTATATAATCTATAATAATAGCCAATCAAAATTCTTCAAAAGTAAAAATTTAATAAAGAAAGAAATTTTTTAACAATAGTAATACTTTAAAAGTTACATATAAAATTTTTTTGAAAAAATATAATAAATAAAAATAGTATTGATATATAATATATATGAATTTTATAATTTTTGATTATATACTATAATTAAGGATTTAAAAATTGTGAATTTAAAATTTATAATAAAAACATAGTAAGTGGACTCAAACTTTTGAAAGCAACTATATATAATACAATATATAATTCTTACAATTTTCAATTACATATTGTTATACCAACCTAATAAATAAGGCCAAGCCAACTAATATAAAAATATATCAATCAATAAATTACAAAAATAACAATTTTTAGTAAAAAAAAAATTTTTATTTTTCAAAAAATATAATTAAAAATTAAATAATTCAAAAAATAATATTAATACTTAAATTTAATTTGTATATTTTCATTTAGCACCTTGTATTTTTTAAATAAAAATAATAAAAATGAAAATTAATATTATAAACCTGTTTGTTTTATTCAAATAGAAATATGAGTACAACTTTTTTTTTTCTCTTTTAACAGCATATACTATATTTATTACAGTAGATATACTATGTATATTTTATTAATAATTACTGATTAAAATAAAACTATGAGTTCAGTTTTTGTTAACTAACGTAAAATAATAGAGGAATCTTTTCACATTCGTCTTCACTATTAATAAAATATATTATGAAAGATATTATATAAAGATCTTTTTGCATTTATATACAGTATATATTTTTTCCGTCTATTTTACGCGACAATTTTTCGACAGCAGGTATTGAAATTCGAAATAAAATGTTAGCACCAAGGAAAACCTTATTCTTGGTGCTTATACGTAACAACTGCATTTCCACAAATAAGATACCAATTATCTTCATGAAATACATTCGTCGTTCGATTTGTTGCAGTTTGTGATATCGTGTTTCAATAATTCTGAAACCAACAGTACCAATAATTATGACGTTCGACCACACTGCATATTACTAATAGTGTTGTTAAGTAGTTCGACCAAGATTGTTTGACCTGGTTTGAACTCGATTTGGTCAAACAGCCATTTTGAAGGTTTTCACAATATGCTGTACTATATACAGTATACAGTAATTACGAGATTAAGCATTTACTGTATATCATGTGATGGAGCTATCAAAACATCATAAGATAATTAAGCTTAATGTCGACAAGCTCACGTACGGTAAATTCATTTGCAGATTCTTACTTTTTTTGGATTTTTATAGACTTAATTAGTGTTACCGCACAAAAAGGGTTATATAATACTCAGGATCGTACGTTATATCGTCAGTTAGGAACGAATGCCAAACTTACAAATTCTTCACTTTAACGATGTCTACCACTTGTCCCCTCAAAAACGTGAACCTGTGGGTGGGGTAGCAAGATTTGCTACTGCCGTAAAAGAATTTCGTCAAATATTCGGAACGGATAGTTCGAGTGTATTATTTAGCGGTGATGTGTTTAACCCGTCTGTAGAGAGCACTACTAGTAAAGGAGCACATATGGTAAAACAATTCATAAGTTGAATGCGCTAATTATTACGATCGATTAAAAAAAATGTATAGTCACACTTCGTTAATTTGTTCAACCAATTTCTGGTGTTGTTATTATTTCCTTTCCTGCAATAATCAGGTTCCTGCAATGAATAATCTTGGAATCGATGCAGCATGTTTTGGTAACCACGATTTCGATTTCGGGTTACCAACACTCGAGGAATTAGTAGGAATGACTAGTTTCCCGTGGATTTTATCCAATGTGCTAGATTCAGAATCGGGTAAACCGATAGCCGGCGGTAAGAGATGGCATCTTCTGGAGAAAGGAGGATTGAAGCTTGGAATACTGGGGCTGGTGGAGAAGTAAGTCATTATTTAAACGAAAGAATGAGCTGATGGATAGTTTTAAGTGCCAAGTTTTAGTGGAAAGAATTTCTTTTAAATTAATTTCTGATTTATCTTTTAATTTCGAAAACCAATTCTCAAAAGAGAATGGTTAGAGACAATTCCTGGGTAAGTAATTATTATGCTTTGTACATCATACCACATGCAATCAAATATTGATAATAAACAAATTACTATATGGAAAAATCTCTACACGATTCATGCTTATATTTATATCTTCTATCTTATAGCCTTCCAAAAACGCTCCGATATGAAAACTTTATAACGGTCGGCAAAGAACTCGCTGTTCAGCTGCGTGATCCCAACGGTCCGTACGCCGTAGATCTGGTTATAGCACTTTCGCATTCTAGACTACAAAATGATATATTATTAGCTAAAGAGTGCAAGGGTTTAATTGATTTGGTACTCGGAGGGTATTTTCTCTTTACCAAATTTATGATCTTACTATTCAGTGTCGTTCGTTCGGCATACATATAATATTAATAAGCAATACTTATTTGTCTTCTATTACTAAAAACAATTGCTGCTAAATAGACATGATCACTTCTACTATGTCAGCAGAGGCTGCAAAGTACGAGGAGGATGGGAACGGGAAAATATAGATGGTAGCGAAGGTGATGATGACATATATGTGATTAAGAGTGGAACCGATTTCAGGGAAATGAGTATTTTGGAGATCGATGTTGAAAAAAAATTTGACGATGATGGTGAGGCAAAGAGTATTATCAAAAATACGGCAGGTATGTTTTTAGAATAATATTAGATTGATATCTCCAATAATAATTCGACAAAATAAATCTTTCAACCGCTATTCTTGTACAGTAACTCGTAAAGAAATTACGTCTGCCATACCAGAAGAACCATACTTTGCCGATTTAGTAAAATCTTCAACTTCCTCAATTACCGCCAAAATGTCCAAGCCCATCGCCTACACAATGACCGAATGGGATTGTCGATCCAAGATGCTCCGCACGCAAGAAACCGCGTTTGGCAATTTTGTGGCTGACCTAATGCTCTACGCATATCAACCCTGCATTTCTTACGACATCGATTGTTCACTTTTATGTGCTGGATGTATTCGTTCGGACTCCATTTATCCTCCGGGCGAGATTACTATGGGAGATTTATTAGAAATACTTCCGTTCGAGGATCCAATAGTGGTAGTAAGGATTAGTGGGCAACAATTATGGGACGCGTTAGAAAGCTCAGTATCCATGGTCCCGAAACAAGAGGGTCGATTTCCTATATTTAGCGGCCTTAAGGTAGAATATAACTCAAGTGCAGAGCCATTTCATCGATTAAGAAATGTATGGCTTACAGAAAGACGTTCTCCATCAGTAGCAACAAATGAAGATGAAAATGGTGTAGCAAATATGGCCGAAAATAACGTTGACAGTGATGATGACTCGGGACCACTCAGCATCATGGGAAAGCTTGACATGCAAAAAATATATACCGTGTGCACACGAGCCTATATGACAGCGGGAAATGATGGGTTCAAAGCATTGATGCAGCCGGAAACGCAATTTTTGATAGACGAGGAAAATGGAATGCTATTAAGCACTTTAGTTAGAAGATACTTTATAGGGTTATATTATACTAGTGCAATAAAGTTTAATATGAGTTGCGAGTCCAGGACACGGGAGGCAGTGCTCAAGGCAGCATTACATTGGAAGAAATTGGCGAAGATGAGGAGGAAGGAAGATGCACACAAACATGTTTCAAGAAGGAGTATTATAGATGCCTTATGCAAGTCGATGGGTAATATAATAAAAGTATTTGGTTATGAAGAAGAAACATCAACGGCAGAGAGCGAGGAAGTATCAATAGAGGAAGACACTGATAAAAATGATGACGGTGTCACAAGGAAAGGAAACACAAACTTTGTGAAAGATTGGGTTACAATAGCGCCGATGATCGAGGGCAGGATTGTTACAGTGGACTTTTAGATGGACTTTTTGATACGGGTTGAGCTACTTTGCTCTTTGGCCTGCCTACATATTCTTATTCAATTATTAAGACATTTTTATTGACATATTACAAATACTAAAATTTCCAAAAATGATTAAAAGCTATAGCCATTGTGTAATTTTATTAATTAATGAAATTATATCTAAGTTTTTAAATTTACGTTTAGTACCTTCGTTCAATAATTCTTTTTTATTTTAAACATTATTTTGTTTTTTAAAAAAATATATATTTAGCAAACATGATTATTGATTTGTTTTTATAAAATATCTAATTCAAGCTTATTATTTTTATCATAATTATTTTAAATTAAATATCTGAAAAAAATTTTAAATCAAGAATGTAAAAAAAAAAAAGTTTTTTTATACATTAAGCGATAAAAATTGATACATAAAATTTAAATATTTATATTCTACAAATATTTATCCAATTGGAATGATTTTTAAGCAATTCAATAGGTTGATACTTTATCTTTTGAACGAATATAGAATTTTAATAGTAAAAGTTTCATATATTGGCAAAATTTTAATTTTATGTAATTGACTTAGGATTGACCTTACGAATATTGGTTCAATTAGAAGGATTTTTAAGCAAGATAGTAACTTTTAGTTTGTACTTTTTATAAATATAAATTATCATAATGAGAAATGCCTTGGGTTAGTTATAGTTATATAAAAGGATATATAGTCTGATTTTTTTTTTTATGATCAGATTAGTATATACAAGATTAACTTTGTGAATATATAATCAAATAAAATTATATTTGAAAGCTTGAAACACTAGTTGAAATTATGTCATTCAATAGTAAATTTGATTAAATTTAGTAATAAAAATATTGATAACTTCTTTTCAATTACTGTTACTTGACATATTGCTATTTTGCAATAAAGTATCAATTAAAAATTTGACAATCAAAAATTCAATAATCAAAAATTCAGTAATAAAAAATTTAACAATCAAAAATTTAACAATAAATTGTTAATAAAAAGTAAAAAAAAAATATTTATCAATATAATTAATTAACAATTCATAAATAAGTTATAAAAAATTTATTAATAATTTAATAAAAGTTTATTATAAAATTATTTATTAACTATTCAATAAAAATTTAATATTAATTTATTAACACTTTATCAAAAATTCATTAATAATTGACAAAAAATAATTAATAATCATTAAAAATTTGTTAATAATTTATTAAAATTTTATTAAATATTTTATTAAATATTTGGTAAAAATTTAATATTATTTATTAACTATTTAATAAAAATTTATAAAACATATTATTTATATATATTTATTAAGACTTTTCTTTTTGTTTTCATTTTTTTAATTTTGGCTCTTTAATAATTAGTTTTATTAGGTTTATTTTTTTATTACTTTTTTTAAATTAAATTTTTTAGTGCTTTTCTAAACTTGGCAAACTTTTAAATTCAGATGTCTTAATTACTTTAGGTTTTACAACTACTATAGAATCAAATTTAGATTTTGTAAATTTTACAAATTTGAGCTAATTAATTTTCTTCTTTAAATTATTATTTTTTTTTTGTTATTTTGATTTTTTATAAAACTTGTTGTTTATATATTTTATTAATCTAATTATTTCTCAAATTTAACAGTTTTTTTTTTCAATTATTTAACTTGTATGTTAATTTTTTATTATTTATATAGATGATATATTTAAAATTATTTAACTTCAAAATATAAAATTTTTTTAAATTTAACTTTTTCTATTGATTCTTTATTTATATACAAAAAAGATATTCATAAGAAATTTTTTATTTCTATGCTAATAAAGTCTTAATACTATCCCTAAACCAACTTAAAGTTTTATTTCAAGAGATATTTCCAAACCTCTTCTCTTGTTTATATTTATTTTCAAACAAAAACTTGATTTCTTGTGATTTAAAAAAGTCAAGAAACATCTTCTCTACCAATGGCAAAAAAATTCTGTGAGAAAGAAAAACTAATATATAATACTTAAAGTCATTAAGATTTGCATGGGTGAATATAAAATCAATATCAAAAAAAAAAGAAAGTGACAAACAAGATATTAGATCCAAATAAGTGATAAGTACTTTAGATAGTCACAAGAAATAATCAATATTATAGATAGATAAGTCTCTCAGATAATCAAGAAGAAGAAAAATATTTTAAAAGAATTGATTTCTAATAAGAGGATATTTCTAATGGATGTTCTTTGGAGAATATAGAATACTTTTATTTTTTCTTTTCTTTTTTTCTTTATATACATTTGTATATTTTTAAATATTTTCTTCCTTTTATTTTTTTTTTCTCCTATTATAGTTTTTCATAAATTGATTTCTTGAAAGATAATAAATAATAATAACTTGCTAAAAAAATTGAATAGATTAGGAGGGTCTTTATTCAAAACTTATTCTGGAATAAAATATTGTTCCCAAGATTATACTTAGAAGCTTATTCTTATTTGAGAATTGAAAGCTATTAATGTGTGATTAGTATAAGATTAGGTTTAGCTTTAATATAATTGCCCAATATATCTTTATAGATTTTTTTAAAGATTAATAAACACACTATATTTATTTGACTATAGATTTTTTTAAAAAAAAATAAAAAAAAATAAAAAAAAACTCTTTCCCACTCCCCCTACTTCGTAAAAATTTCCTTTTTAGGAAGTTATCTTTCCTCTTCCCACTTCTTTACTCTATACACTCTACCAACTATGCAACAGACAGAGTCTGAGATGTGCTGACCTACATGAGGCTCTGTTGTCTGACTTGTTGATGTATAGAAAGTATTATGTCTAGGGAAGCACGAGCGGACCTGAACTCTGCACACGGCAAACGTTTGAGATGAAAGGAACTGTCCTATGGGGCTGGAACACTCCTGAAGTGAGGCTTTATGTATGCCTGAGTCGTCATAGACATGAATACTTTTATTTCCTTTTTTTTCACCCACTCCTTAACCTCCCCCATCTCTTCGTCTCTCTCCCGTTCACACTTATCCCTTCGTTTTATACCCTTCCTGCCGATGGATAGCTTTTCCCTTTTTCAAGGTTTTCTTCCTAGGCTTTTCGCTCCTTCTCTCACTGAAACATCTTATCAACCCCATGGAACATCAAGGCTTTTCTCTGGTCAAGACAGTGGATTCACCCATATGAAAAGAACCAAACAAGACTTCTCACGATTAAAAGGTGAATCTGTGACAAGGGAGGTCACATTTTTGAAATTCTAGGCATATCTTTCTATAATCATTGGTGACTTTACAAAGCCATATAAATGGAGAAGAGATAGTAATGGCGGGAATTTCATCCAACAGCATCAAAAGTATAAGGACTTACTTGCTGAGAGTCTAAACTGCCATTGTGTTGGTCAGAAGTAAATAGCTAGACAAGAGCTCTTAATTTGAATACTTGATAACTCCACCATTAGTCAACTCAGGAGGTGAAAAATGGAACTCCTCTTGTTTCAACTTTCTCCCAAGATCCTACCAAAAACCATGGTTAGCTTACCCCCTCCAAAAGATCAACGCAAGATGATCATACCTTATTAGGACTATGGCCACTAGTAAGGAAAGACCCACGGCCTACAGCTTGCTTCAAACTGGTTTTCAGGCCCAGTACAACAAAAACCTGATTTTAACAACCAAACCATCACATACATCACCATATTACTCCAGCGAGCACCCTTACTGATCAATAGTAAACTAATAGCTAAATATTATTTACCATTTTTTCTCTTTCTCTATTTGAGTTTTTAGAGTTTATAAGGGTCTACTCATGCGGTTAGCTATAATTATTCATGTAATGATTGTTAGTGTTAATTAATAACTTAATTATTTAATAAAGTTATGCATTTAATGCTATTCGCAAAAAAAAAAATAAAAAAAAATAAAATAAAATAAATTTTCTTTAAATTTTAGTAAATTTTTAAATAATCATTTTATATAAATTTTATTATGGATTATAAATTATAAAATTCAATTTAATTTATTGCAATAGTGACCTACAGGTAATAAAATTAACAGTTGAAAGGGTTTTTACCTGAACTACTAATGAAGCAATAAATTATTTCCAAAGTTACATTTAAAGTTTTGATAAATTTCAAAATAGTGACAAGTGAGTAAGGTAAAGATTTAGCTTTAATGACACATTTTCAATGTAAAGTATACAAAACATTTAATAAAGCACACATATCTAACCTGACAGAAAGCTCATAAAAAAAAGAATCCAATTTAATTTTTTTTTTTTTTTTTAATTAACCCTCTGTCAGGCTAGTTGCGTGCGCTTTATTAAACAAAAGTAAGCTATACAT